GGTTTTTTTGTTTGTTTTTTGTTTTTTAAGAAACAAAGTCTCAATCTGCCATCCAGGCTGGTATGCAGTGGCACCATCATGGATCACTGTAGCCTCAACCTCCTGGGCTCAAGCAATCCTCCCACCTTAGCCTCCCAAGCAGCTGAGACAACAGGCGCGTGCCACCATGCCTGGCTAATTTTTTATTTTTTGTAGAGATGGGGTTTTGCTATGTTGCTCAGGCTGGTTTTGAACTCTCTGGGCTCAAACATTCTGCCCACCTTTGCTGTAATTTACTTTTTTAAAGTTTAGAAACAGAAAATGATAAAAAAAAAAAATTTGGTAAAATGTTAACACTAGGGAATCTCAGTGAAAAGTTTAGAGGAATTTTTCTCTGAATTTTCTCTAGACTTGTCACTAGAATGTGTGTAACATGCAGAATATGTACAGAATATTGTTCTTGCACTTTTTCATTAAGCCTGAAATTATATCATAATTAAAAGTTTAAAATATTAAGAAAGAAAATGTATGTGTTTTCATATGGTTACTATAAGACTTAAATTATACTACCTATGTCTATACTAGAACAGTCTCAAGTTTCTGACTGACTTGGTCACAGTCTGAAGGGAATAACAACATTCCTTAATGATCACTTCTAGCTTCGAAATTTTGTAATGTATATACCCTCCCGCCTCTCAAGATAGTCTAACATCCAAATCACTTCCTAAACAGAGTCAAGACTTAAAAGAAGAAACTAATTTCATGGGCAGCAATAGAAACATGATCATTATGTCTTTAGGGAAACAGAATTAAGAGCTCACCCAAAAGAGTAAAGTGAAAATGACTTCATTCAAAACCAGAATGTTTAGAACAGCCAGACTCTGCACTTTATCTTTTAGATCAGGTGTTGGCAAACTTTTTCTGTAAAGGACAAGACAGTAAATATTTAGGCTTTATGGGCCATCCAGTGTCTGTCACAACTATTCAACTCTACCACTATAGCACAAAAGCAGCCATAGATGATAATACATAAATGAATAAATATGGCTGTGTTTCAAAGAAAATTTTATTTACAAAAACAGGCAGCAAGGCAGATTTGGCCAACCCTTGATTTGGATGAAAGTATGTGTTTACAAAATGGACCATTAATAAATTTTAGACCATTTTTGCCTTTTACCAAATGAGACATTTTAAAATTTCAATGTTGCTGTATCTAAAATAGTATTCTTTAGGGGCATGTCTAATTTTTTTAAAGGATAATATTAATCCTTATGGATATAGAATAATCTTACTCTAATAAGAATTCAAAAATTATCACAGAAATCCAGGACACATAATTTCATTTTCAAATGTTACACAGCAGATTTCACATACAATATTAGTGATGAAGTAAAATTCCAAGCAGTGACTCAAAACTTCTGAGTTTAGACAACTCTAAGTTTTAACTTTTCATAGAGAGTTTTAATACATAGCTTTCTGGGAAAATATTTGATTTGCTGAATTAAAGATAATGTCTTGAGATAAAGATGAAATAAGAGAAGAATAAGGGTCATCATTAAGAAGAGTTCAACTTATCACATGTAGGTAATTGTGGCCCTAAATCACCTAAATCCAGATGCAAATGGAAATACTAAGACTTCATTCTAAGGAGAGATGCACATCCTATAATCTAATTGTTTATAAGAGGCTCTGGAATCACTAACCATTACAATCTCTTGATATTTAATGGCAACTGAAATTGCCAAGTTCACAGGAACCTTACCTCCTCTTCTTATGATCCAAATGAATGAAGATATTCCAGTCAAGTTACACTTAGTCACCACTGGTAACCAGCTGTTTTGCCCTATGAAGTCTAGGGTATATTTTCAGCATGAGAGGTGATATGCAACACTTTCTTTTGCAAACAGAAATATATGCACATATCCCTGCTGAAAATGTAGCCCAGTAAATTTGCACATGAAAATAAATACATGCTTATAAGTGGCAATGTGCTAGGTGATGTTTCTGGTTGAGGTCCACTTTAAGAGTCAAAATGTGTAAGCCTTGTGGAGTCAAGGCAGTGGTCCTGTGTATATAGGTATAGAAAAAGTAGCTCACTTAATCCTTTCTGGCCAGAAGTAGGGATTTTCCCGGAACGACATCCATTGTCGGCAATGGACGCACCAAAATAACGCCGGCGCCAGTGAGTTAACCACCTCTGTCCTCTTTTCACCTATTACATTTTTCATGCATCATCCAACTTCCCAACCATCTTCCTGTTTCTTCACAGAATGCACGCTAGGTTCTTGTTTTTCTTCAGCACGAAGTTGGAAATGGAGTTGAGAAAAGGAGACACATGGTCAGCTGGTGATGTTAACAAGCTCCTTGCTGCCCTGAGAAGCTAGATGGAAATGGTTCAAGTTACAAGGGGGATCATCATCAGATCTGGGAGGACAAAGAGTAATTCATGAATTCATGAAGCTTCATCCCCTGCCCTCCCACCCTCTTTCATTTACTGATGATTCCCACAGTCTGCCATCACAGCAAAACCAAGATTAAGGAATCTGAAGCAATCCCCTTCTGTTCTTCACTCCATCCAGTGTGTAGAAAAGCCAAGGGGAACACATGTCCAGCAATGTTATGGTGGCCCCCAGTTGGTCAGGGAACTTGAAATGGTCATAACCACATAACCACAATCTTAGACCAATGCTTTTTAGTATGATCTTGGAATTAAAGATCAGCAACTAATACAATGTTTGACAATAGGTGCCTAATAAAGGTTGGCTGAATAAGACATTTTCTTTTCAGCCAATGTCTACTCAAACGCATAGGTGGAAGTCAGACAGAAGTAGTTAACTCTTTCAATGCCGGGATAGTATGGATATATAGTAATCACATCAAGTCAATGTGTTTCTCTAAAACATGTTCAAATTATAGATTATGGATTTCAGACTTCTGGTTAAATGCTATCTATGTTTTTGTTTGGTTTTATTAAGAACCACTATCATCACAGTTTTGAAATCAGAGCCACAGTAAATGTTAATTAGAATAATGAATGAAGAACCCCAGCACCAATGTATAACAAAACATCACAGTTCACAGTCAAGTAAAAACATTTCTCAGTAATACAATTCTAGATGGGTAATGATTCCAGAGCAAAGTAAAGTTTGAAGAAGAAAGGAGAGTTTTCCTTAATGGTTCCCTTGACACTAAGAATTAGGAAAAATCCAAAGTATGAAGGATAAGAAGGATATATTTTAAGTACAAATGAAGTTTTAAACCTCAAATCAAGAGGATCATCAAGCTACATAGTATTATAAAATTGCTTTGATGTTTCAGATAGGAGTGGGAAGATAAAAAGAAGGGGAAGAAACAATTTGGTAAGACTCAAATGTGTGTCCAGGGTGTGAGTTTAAATTACCACAGTTACATCTAACTGCGTTAAGTATATCCTAGAGACTAATTCATACCATTACCATTACAGAAACCAACTATTATCCAGAGAAACAAGAATATTTACTTTTTCCAGATTTTAAGACAGCTTTACAATGATTACATCTTAGCAGTTTTTAAAAATAATGTCAACCAGAGACTTCTCCGGCAAAAGTAAACTACTGGGTCTACAACCCTACTAGAAGTATTCTCCTTCTATTAAACTACAGCTGTAAAGGCCTATTCTGTGTCCCTTTGTGTACTTGTCTTCATCTCCACCTTCTTAACTGAGCTTCTTAACAGTCCCCAGTAGCAGCCTCCAAACTCAAGAGGGACTTCTTTTAGGGACTTCTGTGCTGACACAAAGCAGGCCTTAAATAAAAATCCATCAAGTGACTATCCCAGCGCTTCTTTCAATTAACTGCAATTCTGATTCCTACAGTTCACATACTGACTTCATAAGCAGATTTACTATGAATGCTTCCTTTTATATTTAGAAAAGGCCTGATTTCATAAGACATAATAAGGCTGAGTTCATACTGAATTGTAAGTGATGAAAGTAACGTGAGTAAGAGCTCAAATGGGTAAACAAGAGCTGAAACCACAACATACTTAAAGAAGGGTCCTAACACAGCAAATGAGGAAGAACAGTACACAAACACCAACTCATTTTGCTCAGTGTTAAAGGCTAATTTCATTGGGTCATATCACAGGATCTAATGGGGTGAGCTTTGTCATCATAATTAGGGGCAGGGAGGACTCAGGTGTTCATCTTGTTGCACATAAGTCAGTACTGCTGATTTATTTGGTTGCTTCATCTCTGGCAGAAGAAAGAAGGAATAGAAAAAAAGAACCTAGTAAGTAACCTGTTCCCACAGGGTCCTCAAGACGTGGATCCCAAGTCCATCACTTACAAATGAAATGTACCATACCTCTCCTAGGTTTATTCTGTTATTCACCCTTGTGTTTATCCAAGACTCAGTCTGGGTTTTCTGCAAAGCAAACCCTGCACATCTTGCTACATTCTTCAACAAGAGATTATGTATGTAATAGGCATGAGTTCCAGATTTTTCTATTTTTCCTCTTTTGTCCAAGGAAATAGGCATTTAAGAGAAGGCCCATTTCAGAAACAACAGAAGTGAATAGCAACTAGTTCCATAAAGTTGTTTTTCCAAAACAAAAATTTACATTCAATCATTTTTAATAAGCTGCTAAATTACCTTAGTTTTCCAACTGATTTTTAATTTTCCATTAATACAACTGATTTCCAATAAATTAAAACACTGATTTTTTATCATTACAAATAGAATCCTAAGTTTGCTGCTCAAAGGATTTTGTTTTTAATGTGAAGAGCACTTAAATGACTGAAATCACTACTGTGATAAACTTTTCTAAGTAAGAGAAAAGGGGACATCTATATATTAGTTTGGCTAATATGACTCGCTATGGGTTACAGGATGTTTGAGACACTTATAAATGGATAGTAAGAGAGACAGTATTTCACTTTTCAGAAATATACATGGCTTTAAAAAGTAGCTAATTTGACTTAGGTTTGTAGAACTCTAAACCTGAGTAATTCAAGTTGAAATGAATAAAAGATGCTTCCTTACCTTTAAGTCTTTCCAACTGTCCAGGAGTTTGGTGGCCAAATCACTTATATCCACTGTTTTATCTGGCTGTTCTTGGCTCCTTTCACTCTCCACATCAGACACACCCTCCTCTTCATCTTGGGATGGTGTTTCTTCATTAATAGGTTCTTCTAGTTTTGTGCCATTGCTCTCTTTGGGCTCTATTTCAGCATCAGCTTCTGGTTCAGATGTAGGTAACTTACTGGCATCTACGCTGGTTTCACTATCAACTTTGCATTCAGGCAGCTGTTGTGGGAGTAGCTGTTGTGACTGCAACTCTTCCTCTTCCTCTACAGGGATATTTTCTAATGGATCAAGATCCTCTTTGCCATCCTTGCCTTCTAGCTCACTGGTTGCATCAGAGATTGCACTGTCCATGCTATTTTCACTTATAATTTTAAGTCTGCGAAACATGAGTTTCTTGGGAGTGTCTGTGTCAACTTCTGCGCTCAGCTTCATGGAAGGATCAGGTGTGTTGAGTGGTGTATGAGCACGCGATGTATTCTCACTAGAATACCCATCTCCTTCACTCAATGGAGGGACAGCAGTCTTAGTCTGAGACCAGCGTTGAATAATTGGAAGTACTTTGCTTTCCTCCAACATATTTTTAGTAGGAATGGGCAAGTGTTCCAAAGTCTTTATAATCTGATTAAACATAACAAAAAAAATTAAATCATTTTGTAGAGTTGACTTTTTTTTTTTTTTTTTGGAGACAGTCTTGCTGTCACCCAGGCTGTAATGCAATGGCATGATCCTGCCTCACTGCAACCTCCACCTCCCAGGTTCAAGCATTTCTCCTGTCTTAGCCTCCCAAGTAGCTGGGATTATAGGCACTCACTGCCACACCCAGCCAATCGTTTGTATTTTTAGTAGAGATGGGGTTTCACCATGTTGGCCAGGCTGGTCTCAAACACCTGACCTCAAATGATCCACCTACCTCGGCCTCTCAAAGTGCTGGGATTACCAGTGTGAGCCACTGTGCCTGGCTACGGTTGACTTTTTTTCTTTTTTTTTTTTTGAGACGGAGTTTCACTCTTGTTGCCCAGGCTGGAGTGCAATGGTATGATCTTGGTTCACTGCAACCGGTTCCCTGGTTCAAGTGATTCTCTTGCCTCAGACTCTCGAGTAGCTGGCATTACAGGGATGTACCACAATGCCCGGTAATTTGGTTTTTTGTTTTTTTTTTTTTCCAGTAGAGACAGGGTTTCACCATGTTGGTCAGGCTGGCCTTGAACTCCTAACTTCAGGTGATCCGCCCACCTCGGCCTCCCAAAGTGCTGGGATTACAGGCGTGAGCCACCAAGCCCGGCCTACATTTGACTTTTTAAACCTCTGGATGGGACTCAGATTATTTCTACAAGGGTAGTGCAGTTTTGCTACTGTTTTATTAAATTAAAACCTACATCTCTATATAAACACAAGCATATTTAAAAATCGTAATATTATTTTCCTTAAGAATAATTTTTTTTTTTTTTTGAGACAAAGTCTCGCTCTGTCATCCAGGCTGGAGTGCAATGGCGCGATCTCCATTCAATGCAACCTCCGCCTCCTGGGTTCAAGTGATTCTCCTGCCTCAGCCTCCTGAGTAGCTGAAATTACAGGTGCCCACTGAAATTACAATGCCCAGCTAATTTTTGTATTTTTGCAGAGATGGCGTTTCACCATGTTGGCCAGGCTGGTCTTGAACTCCTGACCTCAAGTAATCTGCATGCCTCAGCCTCTCAAAGTGTTGGGATTACAGGTATAAGCCACCACATCCAGCCTAAGAAAACCTTTTAATAATAAGATTGACCAGCAAGAATAAAATGTGGAGCAACATCACAACATCAAATAGGACTGATCAATATTCTCTACCAGTAGTTCCCAAACCTGCGTAGCTTTTTAAACATACACACTACTGCACCAATTCTGGGTATCATTTCTTAAAAAGTTCACCAAGTGCCGGTGATATGGACTTGGGAGTTATGTAATAACACATTTAAATGATGTCTGTCATACACACAAAAATGCAGACATCTCTTCAGCTTTTGATAAACAGCTATCTAGCAAAGAGAGATCCTCTCCTCATTTTTAGACAACCTCCCCCATTCTGAAATCCAAGTATCTTTTCTGACGTATTCCTCAGTGTAGTTCCACAGAAATCCCAGGGCTTCCTCAATTTCCTCAAGCCACATGTCCTGGGAGAAGGATGGAGGCAAGAACAATTACTTATCTGCCCATTCCTTTTTGTTTGTTTGATTTTAAAAGTGTTTTATTAAATATATGACTTTGGGATTATATTACAAATTAGAAAGTTAGAAAATATTATTAATTTCATAAAAAGGTAAAGACATCATAACTCCACTAACAATGCTGCCAATGAACCTTTACTTAGATCTTTTAAAACACTTAGTTAAAAGATTCCTCAAAATATTCATACTGTTGTTATGCAGAATTCAGATCTTTACCAATTCTTTAGGCCCCCCAGAATTCAAATTTTCTATGACTTCCTGTCTTTTTAAAACTCTGATTTTAACAACGAACTAAATCTTTCACTTAACTATATCATTGTTGTTGTTGTTTTTATATCTTGCTCTTGTAGTTCTCCACTATGTAGTACCAACTTTAAAAACATACTATAGGAAAACCATGGGACAAACTACTAACAAGGTGTATGTATGGTTAGATAGTTAAAGAAATGATACTGAGATGATAAAATCATTTGATTACTTAATACCAGTGATAAATATAGTGCTACATTCATAATTACTGATATTATCACATACCCACAACCAATAGTGGTCTTAAGAACCAAGCAAGCTAAATGTGAACTGACCTCTTCCTGAAGCTTCTGGTTACTTTCCCGGCCGTCACCTAGCTCTGCCATCCAGATCCACAACAAAGACAGCCCATGACGTTCCAGAAAGGACTTCAGGCAGGACTGTGAGTGTGTGTTCTTTCATGGGGGAAGGGAGACAGGATAAAGGGTATTGAGAGGCAATATCAGAGTATTACAAAGAGCCCAAGGAGAGTTCACTTACATATTACACATTATAGAGTTCACTTATATTCACAAAAAAAACTTTAGAAACTCCGTTTTCATTAACCTAAATAGAACTGTACAACAAATGCTTTGAAGATTATAATCTTCTTTGATACATAAAATATAGCCAGTCAACTGGGATTTTACTAAAGTAGAAAATTATACAAATATTAATAGGTCATTTATAATAAAAATAAATTCTGAAGAACTAAGAAAAAATTGCATGTAACATTTTAAAATAAAGCTAAAACCATAAAAATTAGCCCTTAAATAATTTTTTCTTCTCTCCCTTTCAGATGATTGTTGAAAAGGCCTCTTTTTCCTGTTAATTTTTTTTTTTAATCATCATGGTTTTTTAAACCGTGGCTTATGACTATAATTCCAGCACTTTGGAAGGTGGAAGAGGGAGGGACTGCTTGAGGCCAGGAGTTCAAGACCAGCCTGGGCAAAACAGCAAGACCCTTAACTCTACAAAAATATAAAAATAAAAATTAGCTGGATGTGGTGGTGTATGCCTATAGTCCTACCTACTCAGGCAACTGAGGCAGGAAGATCACTTGAGCCCAGAAGTTCAAGGCTGCAGTGAGCTATGATTGCACAACTGTGTTCCAGCCTAGGCAACAGAGCAAGACCCTTAAAAAAAATCATTTTTTGTTATCTAACATCTTATGGCATACTTAATAAACTGGTATAAATAAGACTATTGTTAAAATTTCGTGCTTTGAGACCATGTAGTAATTGGAGAATAAAAAGCTATGCTAAGTGTAATGAATTATTATATTTAAAAAGAAAAAAAAAAGCCACCACATTATTTGAATATAGAAAGCAAGCAAACCCGGTCTACTAATGGCCGTGGTCCCCAACCTTTTTGGCACCAGGGGCCAGTTTCATGGAAGACAATTTTTCAGTGAACTGGGTGGGGGATGGTTTCAGGATGAAACTGCTCCACCTCAAATCATCAGGCATTAGATTCTTGCAAGGAGTGAACAACTTAGATCTCGCGAATGTGCAGTTCACAATAGGGTCCATGCTCCTATGAGAATCAAATGTCACTGCTGATCTGACAGCAGTGGAGCTCAGGTGGTAATGCTCACTCAACTCCTACTGTGTGGCCCCATTCCTAACCAGCCCATGGCCGGGGGACTGGGGATCCCTGTACTAATAGATTAAATGAGACTAAACTCTTTAGTCATTTTAAAGAATACGATATAAGCTTTGAAAGTCATACACAACTCACATACCCATTTAAAAAATAAGATTGGCTGGCCATGGTGGCTCATGCCTGTAATCCCGGCATTTTGGGAGGCCAAGGCGGATGGATTATCTGAGGTCAGGAGTTCGACACCAGCCTGGCCAACATGGAACCCCATCTCTAACAAAAAAAAAAAAATACAAAAATTAGCCAGGCGTGGTGGCAGATGCCTGTAATCCCAGCTATTCAGGAGGCTGAGGCAGGAGTATCATTTGAACTCTGTTAGGAGACAGAGGTTGCAGTGAGCTGAGACTACGCCACTGCACTCCAGCCTGGATGACAGAGCAAGATTCCACCTCAAAAAATAAATAAAAATAAAAATAACAAAATAATAAATAACAAATAAGATTAGGTTTTATCAGAATTATTCCTTCTTCATTCATCTTCATTCATTCATTCCCACCCCCAAAACCAGAAATAAAAAATAAACATCAAATTGCTCACCTGTATGAGCTCCAGACAGGTAAGTTTCTGCTCCAAAGTTTCAATTCGAACCATTAGCCGGGATAAGCTGAGCACCTGGTTTTTATCAGAGAGACCCTCACCATTTTCCAACAGAGCTTCTAGCTCTCCATCCACCTACCACAGCAAATAAAAATACTTTGTTATAAAACAACAACAACAAAACCAAGCAACTCAAAGAGTTGCTCAACCTTATCAGTTATCAGGAAAACAGAAATTAAGACCAAACTGGGAAACCATGGTGCTAGACTGGGGAAAAAATTAAGAAGGCTGATAATATTAAGTCTACTGTTGATGAAAGCATAAATTGGTATGATACATTTGAAACGCATTTCATCACTCCTCAAATACGTACCAAGAACTTATTATGAGTCAAGTAAAATTCTAGGTGCTGGAGATTTGCAATGAGCCAAAACAGAAAAACCTGCCCTTATAGCATACCATGGACAAATTATATTAAACCAAAAGTTCTCTTCAGAGAACTTTTATGGTTCATAAATGATGATTGGGTTTTCATGCTGCTGTGTGAGATGTATCTCCCTCAAACTTATATAAGTTATACATTATAATGTATAACGACTTTGTTATGATGTCACCATATGAATGACCCAGCTGATGGGGGCAGGTTGCTTCAGAAAAAAATTAAGTATTAGCTTAAAAAATAAAATAGTTGTATCCCAATGCACAGAAATTCTACTTATCAGAATAAACTCGAGAGAAATTCTGAACATGTGTACCTGGAGATTCCTAAGGATGGTCATTGAAGCAACAGTTGTAATTGCAAAAAATTGCAAACAACCCAAATATCTGTACAGTTGGATAAACTGCCCTGTTCATTCAAAGAAATATAATATCACAGTGACAGGAATCAAGCACAGCCAAATGCAACAACATCCATCAATCTTAAAAATATGCCATTAAGGACTGGGAGCAGTGGCTCATGCCTGTAATCCCAGTGCTTTGGGAGACTGAGGTGGGCAGATCAGCTGAGGTCAGGAGTTCGAGACCAGCCTGACCAATATGGTGAAACCCTGTCTCTACTAAAATTACAAAAGTAGCCAGATGTGGTGGCACGTGCCTGTAATCCCAGCTACTTGAGAGGCTGAGGCAGGTGAACTGTTTGAACCCAGGAGGTGGAGGTTGCAGTGAGCCGAGACTGTGCCATTGCACTGTAGCCTGGGCAATAAGAGCAAGTATCTGTCTCAAAAAAAATAAAAATTTAAAAGTCATTAAGAACAACAACTTCTAGACAATTACATGCTATATTTATCCATTTATATGCATCTCTAAGCCAGGCTTTTTAATGATACGTATGTGAAAAATTGCTTTTAAACAGGTAGGGATGACCGGGAACAGTGGCTCACACTTGCAATCCCAGCACTTTGAAAGGCTGAGGCAAGGAGGATCGCTTGAGCTCAGGAGTTCAAGACCAGCCTGGGAAACACAGCCAGACCTCATCTTTACTAAAAATAAAAAACATTAGCTGGGTATGGTAGCATGTGCCTATAGTCTCAGCTACTCAGGAGGCTGAGGCTTAAGGATCACTTGAGCCCAGGAGACTGAGGCTGCAGTGAGCTAGAATTTTGCCACTGCACTCCAGCCTGGGTGACACAGTGAAATCCTGTCTCAAAAAAAAGGCAAGGAAGTAAGACCCAAAATGTACAACAGTGGTAACTGTTAGGCAGGGAGAAAAAAGCAGAGAAGCACTAACGAAGACTTTATATTTATAGCTTATAACATGTATGTTCTTTGAATATTTTAAATATTAAATGTAAATAACTGAGGAGAGAGTGGGAATCAACCTACCAAAGGTTATTTCCAGTCCTGCATTATGGCAGTTACAGGATATAAAGATGCCTTCAAAGAATGTATTATTGGGGAGATTAAATTAATTCATGTGAAACCAAAGAAGGAAACATTAACTGTAAATGTTAATGTTATAAAACCTAGGAGGCCTAAGTAAGGGAGTAATTGGAATGAATCACAGAAATAAGAATAGAAATAGATAAGATAAAGACAAGAGGAAAAGGTAAGCAAAGTAACTGGGAAAGTGTGAACAAAGGAAAATGGGAAATCATGATAGTGCATAGGTCAGAAAAGCTGGAACAGATAAGGCATGGTGAGGGCCTAGGAAAAACCATGCCAAAAAAAAAGACAGCCAGATGCAGTGGCTCACGCCCGAAATCCCAGCACTTTGAAAGGACGAGGCAGGTGGATCACCTGAGGTCAGGAGTTCCAGACCAGCCTGGCCAACATGGTGAAATCCTACCTCTAATAAAAATACAAAAATTAGCCCAGTGTGTGGTGGTGGGAGCCTGTAGTACCAGCTACCATGGAGGCTGAGGCAGGAGAATAGCTTGAACTGAAGAGGCGGAGGTGGCAGTGAGCCGAGATTGTCCCACTATACTCTAGCCTTGGGGAGAGAGTGAGACTCTGTCTCAAAAAAATAAAAAATAAAAGACTGGTGTTAGATTAGAAGATCTCAATCAATGTAACATAAAATAACTTGAATTTGATAAAACCTAAACAGGATCCTGAACAGGGCAATAATATGATCAAAGTGGAATTTGGGAATAATTTGTGTGCCAATAACAGAATAAAATTTAGACAAGATAGAGACTAAGAAGCATACAGACAGTATTAAAACTTAGCAAGAAATGATAAAAGTCTAGAATGAAATGATTCAGAGAAAAACAAGAACTAAAAGGAAAGAATCTTAAGAAAATTTTCCGTTACTTTTTTCTTTTATTTAACTAGCTATTTATCCTCTTAATATAATTTTAGGCAAGGTACTGAACATTTTTATTTCATATAATACCTGAAAAATTCATATTCTGGTAAAGAACAAAAATAAATGAGAAAATATAAAGTGCTGCCTGAGAGAGGATGTAGACACTCAAACTCATGTTTCTTTCTTGTACATTTAAGGCTCAATCTTTTTCATTTCCAATACCATTTAAGTTTTTGAATAAATATATAAACAGAAACACCAATTTAAAGTTGTCTTAACCCAAGAAAGACAATTTCATTAAAGATATCTTTTCCTTGCATATCCTAAATGTTAACCTTCCTGTGTCCCAAATTCTATGGTATTAGAAGAGTCCAAGGGCTTTAAAATTCTACTTTCCCCCTCACCTGTGACAGCTAGAATACTGCTTTTGACAAGAGTTTTTAGATGCAAATATTCACAGTGCTAAAAAATGAGATTTTTGGCCAGGTGCAGTGGTTTACATCTGTAATCCCAGGACTTGGGAGGCCAAGGCGGGCAGATCACCTGAGGCCAGGAGTTAAAGACCAGCCTGGCAAACATGGTAAAACCCCACCTCTACTAAAAATACAAAAATTAGGCCAGGCATGGTGGGTCTAGTAATCCCAGCACTTTGGGAGGCTAAGGTAGGATGATCACCTGAGGTCAGGAGTTCAAGACCAGTCTGGCCAACATAGTGAAACCCAGTCTCTACTAAAAATATAAAAATTAGCCAGGCATGATAGTGGGTGTCTGTAATCCCAGCTACTAGGGAAGCTGAGGTGGGAGAATCACCTGAATTCGGGAGGCGGAGGTTGCAGTGAGCCAAGATCACGCCACTGCACTCCAGCCTGGGCGACAGAGCAAGAAAAAAAAAATTAGCTAGGTATGGTGATGGACACCTGTAACCCCAGCTACTTGGGTGGCTGAGGCAGGAGAATTGCTTGAACCCAGGAGGTAGAGGTTGCAGTCAGCTGAGATCATGCCACAGCACTCCAGCATGGGGACAGAGCAAAAGACTCTGTCTAAATAAAAAAAATTAAAAAATTAAAAATAAAAAAGAGATATTTTCTTTTTAAAATTAGGCATGTTATGACTGTTTAACTCTAAAAATCCTGAGACAAAGGTAAGTTATGTTAATTACACTCATTCAATAACACAGATGTTATTGCATAAGGCATTTCTGAAATATAAAGAAAATAACATTCTAACTAAAGAAAAATGAACAGTAAAAATGCAGAAACTGGAGTATAAATAAAATCTCGCAAACAAAATAAAGTCGAATAACCCTTGAACATTCCTCAGTGGTTGTACTGTACACACATACAAATAAATGCATGCCAATTCCAGTGGTGATAATCCAGCTTCCCTAATTTGGGGTGCACAAGTATAGCAATCAATTGTGCAATAACTTTTAGGGTACCTGGAAGAGAGAGTTTGGAAGACTCAGTTTGTCTCCCTTCCTTTCAATTAAATTACATTTACTAAAAGTATTAGATTTTATGTATGGGTCAACACCATCCAAAAAGAATATGAGGTAAGCAACTAAAAGTAAACATAAATTTAAGAATGATTAGGGTATATTTTTAATAAATGATTGATAATTGAAAATTTATAGGGCCGGGCGCTGTGGCTTACGCCTGTAATCCCAGCACTTTGGGAGGCTAAGGCAAACAGATCATCCGAGGTCAGGAGTTCGAGATCAGCCTGACCAACATGGTGAAACCCCATCCCTACTAAAAGTACAAAATCAGCAGGGCGTGGTGGCGCACACCTGCCATCCCAGCTACTCAGGAGGCTGAGACAGAAGAATCACTTGAACCTGGGAGGCAGGGGTTACGGTGAGCTGAGATTGTGCCATTGCACTTCAGCCAGCCTGAGTGACAGAGCTAAACTAAGAAAGAAATGAGGAAGGAGGGAGGGAGGGAAGGAAGGAAAGAAAATTTCTATATAGTAAATATATATGTATTTATTTAATATATATTTAAATATAATTAATATATAGTTAATATAATATATATAAATATATATAATATATAATATATAAATATAATATATAATATATATTTCATATATATTTCATATATATTAAAATATAATTAATATAATTTATAAAATATAAATTAATATATAAAATACAGTAAATATATATTTATATATAAAAAATATATGCAGAATTCCATAGTACTTGAAAATTTATTCTGTTAATCATTGCAAGATATTTTTTAATGCTTTAATATTTTTGGCACTAAGTGATCTAAGTAGCATTTTAAATACTTTTTGATGGAATACAACATACAGTATACATATATATACAGAAAAGTATATAAACAGTAAATAGGTTTAATAAACAGGCGAGCAACACCCATAT